GTAGGCAACGTTAATAACTCCCCAAACAACCTAGGGAGCATCATGACTATTCGAAGTCCGTCAGCCATGTAACGTTGCAGAATCATCCCAACTTCAACTAGATAAATTCTCTCGAGGAAAATATCTGGTCGAGGTTGGGATCGAACTCACCACCTTCCAATCGTGAGTCGGGCGCATAACCACTGCGCCAATTCACCGCTAGCTAAAGCTGTTAATCAGAACTTTACAAAATCCACAATTCCACCACTAATATGAGCGGATGGTTCAACAGCCATAGAAAAAGCAAATCTACTAGCTGAACAATTTGCGTCACACAGTCAAATTAAGATAATATGTTCTGGTTGAAATTTTGAAAAGAAAGCTATCATTTTCAGTCAGTCCGTAATACAACAAAAAAGTATTACCAATATCTCGTACCTTATATAGACACTTGGTTTTAATCGACTCACTATCAAGTCACACAGTCGATTTTCCGGGAAAGGCACTACCCACTATTCCCACACTGGAATCCACAATGCTAAAAATAACTTTTCGACAGCGTCTAGTCAGGCGAATATTGAAACAGCTCAATATCAACAAGGCTTCTGGTCCTGATGAAATACCCGTCATCGTACTCAAAAAGTGGACCATATCCTCAAATATTTGGAAGGCTTCAACATCTTGAGCGATCATCAATATGGCTTTCAGAAAGGAAGTTCAACAGGCGACCTTCTATCTTGTATCACCCATATTTGGAATAATACAATCGAGAAACATGGAAAGTCAAGAGCTGTTGCGCTTGATATTTCTAAGGCCTTTGACCGTGTGTGACATGAGGGTTTGCTGGCCAAACTTAGATGCTATGGCTTCTCGAATCACATCTGTGTATGGTCCTCCAGCTTTCTGAAAGAACTTGTCCTGCAAGTGGTCGTTGATAAATATCTCTCGAATACTTTCACCATCAACACTGGTGTTCCTCATGGATCCATATTGTCTCCAACCCTCTTTTTATTGTATATCAACGACTCCTTGGAACAAACCGAAAATCCAATATAATGTTCTGCTGATGACAGCACACTTGTCTCGTCACTACATCTGTATTCCAGGATATCGGCTGCGGATACACATCTTCACCGGCAGCAGGAGGTTGAATATCTTAATGAGGATCTAGGAGTAATTTTGAAATGGGGTTGAAGTAAACAGGTCTCCGAACCGGATATAATAATGTCAGGTCAGACAATTCCGCTTTCTGCTTCGGTAAGTTTGTTGGGGTTTAAAATGGTCACTTATATGTCTTGGCACAATCATGTCGCTGGAATTGCAAAGGCTCAAAAGCTTGGAACACTGTTCCGAACCAAAAAACTGTACACACCTCAGCAACTTTTGACGCTTTATTGAGCTCAAATCAGACCTTTTTTGGAGTATTATTCTCATGTATTGGGACCCATACATACCTTGAGGCTGCTGGATTCCATCTAGAATCAGGCATCCGCCTCATTGGAGACGCGAACATCACTTGCAACTTTGATAGTCTGGAACATCGGAGAAAGGTTGGGGATTTTTCTCTCTTCTATAGATAATTTCACGGGAGGTGTTCATGTGACTTGGCACATTTGATTCCACCAAGAGCGGCACATATCAGAAATACGCGGCGACGGACTGTTGCTGCTCATCGTTTTGAGGTTCAACTCAGTACACCGCGAACTTCACTGTTTTTAAGAACTCTTTCATCTGGAGAACGGCGTTTATGTGGAATAAACTTCCTGAGAAAGTTTTGCAAATGGATTTAATCTCCAGCGATTCAAATTCAATGTGAATCACTACTTTCGCACAGGCACCGCTCTAAGAGCGCCTTGAGGATTTTCCTGTAGTTCTTGGTACTTGAAAAACAACGAGAATTTATCAAATGATGTGAGTTAACAACAGTTAAACTCGATTGTGAGATTGAGAAAGTTTCATTTTAGCCATTTAAAAATCTTGTAAGTAGTGGAACTAATGACTAAAAACAACTGTCTAAGTCTAAAAGATTCGAGATCTGTAAATGACAGTGAACTTTTGGATGCTTTCGTAAGTCTAGAAATACAAGGAAATACAATAGGAAATACAATAGGACAAAGGTCCTATTCCCAAGAGCCCATTATTTACTTTTATATGAATCCCTCTGATAAAAATTAGGAAAATATTTCACGAGAAAAAAACACTGATTTGTAGCTTTGAAAGGTTTGACAGTGAATGTATATTGTTTGGTTGGTAAAAGGAACGTTGAGAAGAATTTTTCATTTCTGGTGTTAGAGACCAGTGCTTGTTTTGAATCTCTTGTACGCCAGGGAATCCAGTTCTACCTTTCAGACATGTATTAGAAATATTTAAATGACATTCTAATCCTTTGATTACACGTTTACCTAGAAACTCCAAGGGGTTCCAACTGTGGCTCATCCTGTGCCATACCTACCTTGATNCCCACATTTTTGTATCAAGATGGAAAAGTAGAAGGCCAAAAACTTTTTTCCCTGAAATTAATCTCCCCTAAAAATATACCCTCCTGATTTGAACATGGTGTATATACTATTTGTCACTGAAATATGCAATTGTGCGAAGTAGAATTAATTTTTGAATAATATAGGATTCATTCCTTGGGATTTAATATCACATCATTTTTTTATTCTGGTTGTATTGTTATCTCTGAGTTTCAACGATTTTACCCTGCACTTGAAATAACTCTCAAGTCGTTTATGAGACGTACCAAAGTATTTGTTCTAGAGTTGATCCAAGGTGCTTGCTGTTTTATAAAAAGATACGATGGAGTTGAAAAATCAACAACACTCGAAAAGTTAGTTGAATTGCTCAACAAAATGAATGACAAAATATAGTTATTTTCAAAGATCACATGTCTCTAGAAGAAAAATCGAATGTTGCTTGCCTAGTGTTTGAATGGAAAACGTGTGTTGTTAAAATCTGCACTAATATTATAAATATGAAAGTTTGTGAGGATGGATAAATGTATTTATGTATGTTTGGGGCTTTTTCACGCCTAAACGACTGAACGGATCTAGATGAAATTTTACATAAATACAGCGTATACATCAGAATAACATATGGGCTACAATTTACAAAGATTTTGTGTGAGTTTGGCCATATATCGATAAGTATTAAGTAAGTCGGAAAAATTCTTTCTCCCTGAGAGCTATCTTGGCGTGCGGTGCCTATAGGTACCGTTAGAGTTAAATGAAGATAATATACCGTAAGACTGTTTATCTTCAATAGTTCTAAATAAAGGTCCGCGATAGCATATATCTACCTCTTATGTGGTAGCCACTATATGCAAAATACTGAGCCACAAATACAATTAAATTGTATACTTTTTTACAATGCACATTTTAGAATATATGTCAAATTCTTATACTTTATAAATTTTATACAACCTGAAAATCCTAAACATACGTAATGAAGGAAAAAAAAAGAAATTGTTGGAAGCCATGAAAATGAACAAATCAATTAAAAACCAGAAATATATAACCCTGAACGAGCAACTCGAGTTATGAAGGTCTCCTCTCTTCAATTTATAAGTTTAACAACCCCTATAATCTTCAGTGTTGAATTTTAAAGTTGGCACCCTGGTCCGTACAAGTACCTGTCGTTCAACTACCTTACATCTTACCTGAAAACTCCCGATTTAAGCAAGTTTTCAAACTTCACATTTCAGTTTTATACTTGATAATGGGGTTAAACCCGAAACCGGTCGTATAAATAAAATTAACTAGTGGTAATTAGACAAAAGTATTTTCATTCATTTCATTGAAGTTATACAATTGTCGTTTTAAGTATTCAATAAATAAACTTTGTCTTTTACACTAACTAATTTGGATGAATCGTTTAAAAGTTATCACGATAAGATTAACTTGACGCATCGCAGTATGCCATTAGGTACGCCTCACATCTACTGTAAGACGACGGAAGACGATGCGCGGTGATAGAGGGGCGGTCTAAGCAATGAAGCGCCATCGCCGAGAAAGCGACCCGAACGCGGGCAGACGCGTGAGGGCAGATATCGTTGACGTGTTAGTATTGCGAAATTTCTTAATAGGTAGCATAATTCGATTCTCCAAGCTATTCATTACTTAGTGCAGTTGGCTTCATTTTCAGTTACTGTGTTTTTAAAGTAAAAATATAAATTACTAGATGTTGCCCGTAGATTCGCCCACGTAGAATTTGGTTTGTCACATTCAGTTTCGTGACAGATCATTTTAGTTATGAAATTCAATATAATCTTTGAACCCCTATTTTCCCATTCGAAGGTGGAAATTCCTGATTCCCTTCCTTGATGCTTATACTAAGAACCTACCTGCATATTTCAAGATTCTAGGTTCAGTAGCTTCGGCTGTACGTTAATATTAGAGTGTCAGTCAATGAATAGGTATCCAATTATACAATACTAGTTGTTCCCCGCTCTTTTTACGACGTTACCGTGCGAACCTACCCTATGTGTTATTCCAGGTCATGATATTTCACGAGAAAAAAACACTGATTTGTAGCTTTGAAAGGTTTGACAGTGAATGTATATTGTTTGGTTGGTAAAAGGAACGTTGAGAAGAATTTTTCATTTCTGGTGTTAGAGACCAGTGCTTGTTTTGAATCTCTTGTACGCCAGGGAATCCAGTTCTACCTTTCAGACATGTATTAGAAATATTTAAATGACATTCTAATCCTTTGATTACACGTTTACCTAGAAACTCCAAGGGGTTCCAACTGTGGCTCATCCTGTGCCATACCTACCTTGATCCAAGCTGCCAAAAATCGATTCTGATTCTATGTCAAGGTTCAAATATTTTGAGGCGATTTCCCGAAGTTAAGAAAACAGTGTATAACGTCCTCTATCATGATAGAAGAATTTTTGAATTTCTTCGTATAGGCATCGGTATCCTCCAATGGTCAAAGATTTGTTAATGAAACTAACTTGACCTATCACAATGCGCTGTGTCTTCAGTCAATGCGCAAGCCCGCCGCGCCAGTGTGACGTAGAGATCAATAGGGGACAGAGCTTGAATCTCATATACCTCAGTGATATTGGTGATTGTTCATTAAAATAAGTTTTGGAATCTTTTGAAACATGTAAGTACCCTTTGACGATTTGGAAAACATGTTGGACTATGTTTTTAATGGTTCAGTTATCTGAGTAGACGTGTTTTGTTTCAATTCGCTAATCAACCTTCCACTGTCGCATTTAATCTCTGAGCAGAAACATATATTCAAATTAAGATAATATATTCTGGTTGAAATTTTGAAAAAAAAGCTATCATTTTCAGTCAGTCCGTGATACATCAAAAAAGTATTACCAATATCTCGTACCTTATAAATATAGACACTTGGTTTTAATCGACTCACTATCAAGTCTCCAACCGCCGAAAATATACATTTTATCGCTCAACTTTAAATTATTAGGTATGCCTACTTTTAAGTTCCTGTTTTGCAAGTACATAATTGATAACAAGTATGATAAACATGTAGCTGTAGTCGATTACAAACATCATTCTACTTGCATATCGATTATTTTATACGTAGGGGGTGTTAACGCATATCTGAATAATTACAGTGGCTAATTTTTTACATTAATTCCGAGAATTGTTTGTCTTCAAGTAGGAGCTGAAATTGATTTTTCGATCAAACTTCTTGACGCAGGCGTGGGTAACGAGAACATGTTTTTTGAGAAACCTCTTAGAGGAACTCTGTTTTTATTTTTAGATGATGATGTTGTACAAATGCTCGTTTCATTGGATTTGAAACCCATTTGAAGTATACCGGTTTTGAAAGAAATTCAATCCGTTTTTGTACCCACCTTCAGAAATCACATATTCCTTCTACTGACCTACTAATATATTTTCAACAAGCAAATGTTTTCCATCAGTTTGGAAGATTTACCACTGATTTCACAAACTGTTGTATATATATATATGGAAAAGAAAGTTTAAGACCTTCTGTTTCTCCATCTTGATACAAAAAATGTGGGAATCTTCCAAAGAAACGAAGGAAGCAATCAATTTCATAAAATTAATGAAAGAAGTTAAATTTCATTTGCATGGAACACTGTCATCCTCACTGCTTACATTCCATGTAAGTGAATTATTACTTCTTTCATTAATTCTATTGTGTAGGAATCCTGTGAATGAAACGGAATAGAGAAAAGTGTTTTTCGTATAATTCAGCGTTCAATTAAAAGTATTTGTTTCAAAAGTATTTTTCTTTTGTGTAATTCATTGTTTATATAAAAATAGCTGTTTCGAAAGGGCTTTTTCTTCCAGTTTGTGTCTGAAAGTAACTTCTTTGCAAGATCTACACATCTTTGTATAGAGTTAATTTTTTGAAATTGATTGCTACCTTCCTTTCTTTGAAAGATTCAGACATTTTTTGTATCAAGATAAATAAGTAGAAAGCCAAAACTTTTCTTTCCCAAAAATAGTATTGGAGTATATAGAAGAGATTTGTAATTGTCATTTTTCAATTTGGAATTGAATTTTCTTGGAAAACGGTAGAATTATATCAGTCAGCAACTGAAAATCAGTTGCTGACTGATATCATAATAATCAGAGACTTCTATTAAAATTTGTTGAGTGACACATATTTTATAAATCGGGTTGTGAATCGTTACGAGAGCAACTCATTTTTCATATGAAATATTTTATATACAAGTGAATGATAAAAAGATATAAACTGGCCAAGCTTAGCAATTTTGTATGAAATTTATCAATAATTCTTGTCATCAGCTCCTCTATTTTCGCAAAATTTAGGTAATTATAGACGCATCATAGCCCTCACTTATTGTCCTGCATCTGTATGCCCAGTATTATCTAGTAGAATTGCAGTTGGTTACAAATATACTAATGACAAACTTGTAAANTATATATATATATATAACAACTTACATTTGGATCCGTTGAGCTGTTTAGGCGTTAAAAAGTGAAAAACGTAAATATATACATTACATTCATCCATCCTCATAAACTTTAACCATTTATAATACTAGTAGGAGTAGGATTGGTAGGATTACCAATGTATTTCATTCTAATCCTTAAATTTCTTCTGCTGATGCTATTCAATATTGTATAGGTTGGTACCAATTGATTGGCTGACACTTTTATATCAACGTACAGCCGAAGCTACTGGACTTAGAATCTTGAAATATGCAGGTAGATTCTTTGTTTAGCCTAAATAAACATCAAGTAAGGAAATCAGGGATTTCCACCTCCAAGGGGAAAAAATTGTATTAAATTTTGTCAGTTCTGAAGTTGGAAATCTGAAGTTTTGGATTAATATAAAAATATTGTTTATTTGTTTAAAATGGTCTGTCACGAAACTTAATGTGACAAACCAAATTCTACGCGGGTGAAGGCGCGAGCAACAACTAGCTAATAATAAAATAGCTTTGTGCCCTAGGAGCATACAGGACAACGCCTACTGAAATCTTCACAGTGAATCTGGAGAGTCACCGTTGCAAGTTCGACGAAAGTATTTGAGCCTAGCCTATGCATCAATAGTTTCGGCTGACAACCAGCATCCAGTTTACCTTAATACATTCTCAAACCGCTTCCGAAATCTGTATGAAACCCGAAGTAGCATAACACATACTTTTTATCAAAGAATTAACAATTACAGCTCCGAGTTGAACATTGCCTTCCCAATAACCCTCTCCAACAAAACCTCAAATACCCCTCCCTGGCTCAATGCACTGCCATGTGCAATGAGCCAGTCTGCTCTACAATCACTTCCACTCATCACTGAGTAAATATCAAGAATACACACATATCTACACAGATGCTTCCAAATCAAATGATGGGGTAGTGTTAGCCTTTCTGAGCCCGAATATATCAAGTGGTTTCAAACTGTCTAAATATTGCAGCGTTTATAGTGGTGAACTTTTCGCAATCCTTGAAGCAATCAAATTTTCCGTTGATAAAGAAATCCAGAACACGTTAATTTCAACAGACTCTTTAAGTTCCCTGCAAAGTATACGGAAAATATATTATATTGATCACCCGCTGACAAGATCCGTCAAAGAGTAGGTATACTCACACAATTACGGGAGCTTCCAGAAAGCTAAATTCATGTGGGTACCGTCACATGTCGGGACCTGAAAGCATATATGAAAACTGTGGTTTCTAATTACTGGTCATCCATGTGGTCAATATCTAAAATGAAATTGAAAGAAATTAAAGATGACATCAAACCATTGAAAGACATCTCCAAACAACGAAAACAACAAATCATAATTACTCGTTTGCGTACTGGACATACAAAGTATACTCACGAACACTTACTGAAAGAAGAAGGAGAGAAAATCTGTTATACATGTGGGGTGCCAATTTCAGTTAAACATTTTATGGTGGAGTGTCCGATCTTCGTGGATGAACGACTGAAGTACAATATTAGTGGAAATATAAAGACAGTGAAGTTACAGTGAACTGTAACTTCACAGACATACTCAGATTCCTTTCTGAAATTGATTTACTCAACAAATTGTGAAATCCCAAGTATCAGACAACCTCTCTTTCTTATTCCAATGTTAAATTTGTAAGAAAATACTATTGTAAATGATAATGTTATGTATGTTCATATATGTATATATTTATTTTTCTATGTTGCTAATAACCTTTGTGGTGGATGCAACGATATTTCTAAATAAAAAAAAAGTTTTGTACAGGAGATCCAGAATATCTCAATAGGCTATTCTAAGTATTGTGTTAGGTACATAATTTTTACAAATCTTATATACAGTGTTCAAATTTAGTTTACCTAACTAGTGTCGACAAAATTATTCCGTATTTCATAGTATTATAACCGGGTTTTCAGAACCATTGTAAAGTTGCTCTTGGGTCACCAAATCACTTTTCTGGTAACTTTAAAGAAAGTGCTGCTTGTGCTGCCTATTAGAAACTAAAAAGGTCCGTTTGCTAAGAAAATTTTACCGCGTTCTTTTTTCAATATAAATTTCAAAAAATCATTTTTATCTCAGGCACTATCAATAATATGATTAAATCAATTTTTTGTTTGATTTAAAATATTCTACAAAAGAGGTTCCTTGCTTATATCACTCATAGGTATATGAATGTTATACGCCAACTGAAGACACCAACTTAGTTGGTGCGAAACGCGCGTCGAGAAGAGTATTTCATTTCTGGTGATTCGGAAAAGTGCTTATTTTTGGATTCCGATATGTTAATAATAAAACGATATAAAAAATGAGAAGTAATAAACATCGAATATGAATTGTGAAAGTAGATATAAGAACACTAATTTGTAAATTGGAAGATCAAACTCTACCTCTTGAAGATGATCACTTGGTAATCGAAACACGTGTCGAGGTGTTGAAATAACAGTTTGGTGTAGGGAAAAACTTAGTAATATTCACCTGAATCGGAATTGATTCATGCATTGAACAATAAATGAAATGTCAATAATACACTAACCAAAATTAAAATCAAGAAAAATGATCATGGAAAATGAAAAACGAATAAAAAAATATTCCAAACCATGCTACTTTACGACGTTTCAATTGTTACTATCACAATCGTTTTCGGATGATCAATAATAATATATTATTCATACAGTGTGACAGTGTAAAACACATATTTTTTAACCGATTGGTCGGTCGGTAGTCGGTCGGTTCGACGTGGGTGCTTTGTTCACTCACTCAAATCGACCGCCGTATTGGTCGGTGGTTCAAGCCCCAGGCCGAGCGATCGATTTTCACTTGCTATCGTCCAACCAGGTTAGGAATCACACATTAAAAGGTAAGACCTTGTTAGTCCTTAGCTCGCACAAGTTTCGACTTCTGAGGGTTGTCGTTCGTAGGGGTGCAACAGCTGGTTAACGGAAAAACAGATTTTAACAGACAAATTTTTTCAACAGATCATGTAGAAATTCGCGAAGCGTATAGTAGAACATCCAATTTCAAGAATGAGTCTTCGTTATCAGTGCAAACTTTTACTATTGTGTGGTCAGAATTAAAAAACCGCAATTTTTTTATTTTTTATAATGAAACATGCTAATGAATATTTTATCATTTAGCGGATATAGGTACGATTATACAGGCAAATAATTGACTTCTGGGTCAGAAA